AACTGAGATAGCAGGGCACTTTCCAAAATGGTAGTGAGCTCCTCTGCTGACGTGGGAGTCTAAACCTCTTTGAAGAGTTTGTGATATTTTCAGGGAGGCTGTTTGTTAGAATCAGCCAAAGAGACTCAACTAGAGAAAGACTGAGTTCAAAGAAAAATCTCCTCTGATTCGCACATGAATTATTCCTGCCTTTGTTACAGAAATTAGGGTGTGTGCAGGTAATTGGGGATCAGAAAACTGCCACCCTGGGGACAATTGCAGGCAGTTCTGCAGCCACCTGGCTTAGCTTGAATTCTTGGAAGTAGAACTTTCTTAGTTTAATAAAAGGTTTCATGAACGCCTTGTGGGTCTGCTCTTTATCCCTAGTGTTTCCTCTGAGGCTTATGAATAAGGCTTCAGTCCTATTTCTCCCTTCAAGACTGGCGCACAGCCCCACCTGCTGTGCTTGGAGGCTGGGAGGTGCAGCCCGAGGAAGCAGTAGCTGTCTTCTGCCATCTGCTGGCTAGGTCCCTGCACCAGCTCAGGGCTGGCTCCGCATGTATTCCTAGGGAGTGAAAACCAGGAGAGAAAGTGTGGGGCAAAGAGTGTCCCTGCTTTGAGTAAAAAGAAAGAGATGAGAAGATGGCAAACAGAAGTTGATCCAGCAAGACTTGTCCCATCCTGAGGATTTGTGTACAGAGGTCATCATCTGAAATATCAATGCCAGAGACTCCTCTATGCGAGTTTGTTTTGTTGGTGGAGAACACCGCAGTGTAGTTTATTTGATTATTTTTAGATTATTGACTCACAAGGCTTATCAAATAAGTTAATGCCACATCTCCATAGACTCATTTGAAGGGAAGAGCAGAAACTCGTGCCAGTGGGAACTGAGATAAGGGTAAGGAGACAGGAAGAGAGAAGAGCTAGGAAAGACATTTCACACTAAATTGCAGTATTCTTTGGTTGGTTCGCTGACAGTTGTTGGAGACTATTTACAAGGCTCTAATTCAGATATCTGGGACACAAAAGTGAGCGACATTGGGTCCCTTCTCCCTTAGAGATAAGAATCTATTAGGGAGCAGCTAAATGACTGGAGAATAAAGGAGAGAGGAGCAAGTGCCACACGCAGTAAAGGAGTGCAGGAAAGCACAGAGGAGGAGCATGCACCTCCATGGAACCGCTGCAGTGTCAGGGAAAACTGACTAGAAGAGGTGATGTGAGCTGGATTTGAAGACAGTGGCATACGGGAGACAGTGGTGAGAAGGGCATTCCGGTTACAGGGAGCACCAGTCCTCATACACAACGTCACCCATGACCACCGCTGCCTCCAAGGAGCTGAGAACTCTGGATACAAAGCAGAAGAAAGTGGTTAAAATATTAGTTCTTAGGCAACAAGCCATTGATCAGTCCAGGGCCCTCATCTGAAGCAGGGAGGAGCAGGCAGAATCTCGTGGGAGAGCAGCCTACAGGATCCTGGACCTCAGAGAGTGGGGCTGGGACAGGGGATGGGAGCTGGGGTTGTCTCTGGTCCTAGAAACACTGTTTCAGTCCCTGTGCTGGATAATGACAGCCCCTTCCTGGCAGTACAGTCAAATATTCCAAAACTCATGATTGACATCCTCTCGTAATTACCTGAATTTCTGAGTGGCCTCTTCTGAAGACCTAAATACTGAAGTAGCTCCAAGCTCGAGGATATCAACTGCAATGTTATTGCAAATTGTAAGTATGAGGGGCAACAGGAGGAAAAATGCTCTAGAAACAATCCTATAGCTTCTGGATGAACCAGTAAGTAGCCCACGGAAAATGATAATTCTGGAAACTGCACTACAATGCAAAATACTTGTGAAGAAAGGTCAAGATCCAATCCTGCAGGGAAAATGTTCAGAAGGAAAAACACTAAACTGCAAATAAAGGCCGTATTTTTTTTCTCTATTAATCTAAACTACAAATAAAGGCGGTGTTTTTTCTCTATTATCTATGTTTTATATAATATCCTTATATTACTTTTGTAATATTTTCTAGTGTAAAGAAACCTAACGGTAAAATGTGTGTGCTGGATTAAGGCAGAGGCAAAAATTACCCTAAATAAATAATGACCCCATTTATGTGTTTGTTTCTGATATTTAGGATTCCATTTTCTTCTCGAATTGTACTCCCATTTGTATAGCATATTCACTTTGCTTCAGTGTGCCCTCAGTCTCCCCCTTGCCCACACCCCTCCTCCCACCCTGGATCTGTGGGATGCATTGTGATGTCTGCTCGCTAATTTTGCTGTGACTGGGGCCGGTGTCTGGTTGGTGATTCATGTTTGTTCCTAAGTTGTACATCTGTGTTGGTTGCTTTGAAACAGTGCCCCGGGGAATATGAAAGGCCATTTGTCTCACTGAGACGGCTTCTTTGGACCAGAGAATTCTTCCCTGGCTTCTTCTGAATTCCAGCAAGCTCTTCTCCGAGTTCAGGCAGGGTAAAGAAGAAAGGAAAAAAATGGGGGGGCGGGGGCAGCATGGAGAGAGTTTTGGTATCTGGATCTAGTCCTTGCTTACCTGGCAAGACCAAACTTTCCTGAACCTGACACTGGGGGCAGAATGCCTTGTGGACTTATTTTCTGCCCACCAGGAATACCTCTGGCAGAAAAGAGAGCAGAGTGAGCCCGGGTGGAAACCCTCAATGGAAAAAGTTCTGAGAGTGTGGTAGGCATACCTACTGGGCGCCTCTTCTAAGATTTTAGCACATGTATACACAGCAGTGATATTCATAATATTTCATTACTGGTACCTCATGGGCACTGACCAGTTCAATGGGCACAGGCTGAAGGTAGTGATGGTGCTGAAGGTAGAGGCCCGTGCTGCTCCAGACACCAGCCCTTTCCTTAGGAGATCACCTGCACAGTCACCTGGAGGGCCTGGGACAGTGGCTGGCTGCCAGCTGGTACAAAAGCATTTCGATGTTTTAATATCCGTAAAGGCTGTACCGATCAGATACATGCCAAATGAATAACAACATCAACACTCATGTTTCACAGCTCATGCCCAGTCTTAAACTTTATGGAGTCCCATCCTCACCTTGGAAGAACCTACCCTCTTTTGTCCTCAAGAAGAGTTCAGAGCCAGCATCAGGACCTACTGGTTCTACAGGATCCGGGTGGCCCGAAGGAGCCCTCATCCACAAAGGAGCTCTTCATTTTGCTCAACAACTAGTATAGATCTCGCCCAAGGAAAGTTTGAAAGTCAGCTTTCATTATATTTTCACTGGGCTTACAACATAGCCTTACCTCCGGGCAGGCGGGCAAGAAGGCTGGTACATGTGAACCACTGGCCACCTGCCTGCTCGCTCAAGTCTGGGAAGGGCAGCCCATCCCAGCCACGTAGCCTGCTGTGAAAACCTGTAAGGCCCAAATGAGTGTTGGATTGTTGTGGCCTTTCCTTGACCTTTTAAGGGGAGTCTTGCTAACTGCCTATCAGACGCCTGGAGTTTGTGGGTTGGCGGAAGCCTCTTCTCAGAATGGTCTCCGGGGAGGCAGGATAGCCCTGCCTTCCGTCATTTCTCCTTTCAATTAAACGGTTTCTTGTTTCAAGGAAAGCTACAGCTTCAGGGTAATTTGCTGCCTTCCCTGTCTCATTCAAGATAGCAGCCAAGGTTGCTCACAATCTGACTGACTCTCCACATACCAAACACACGTTTTGTTTGAATCCAGAGGCTGGAGGGAAATTGCACCCTGTCACCCAGCAGGGCTTTCGAGAACTCTGCGACCAGCATGGAGAAATGAGTTGGAAGACTAGGGTGTGTCCCATTCTCATTCTGTGACATTGAGCAACGTATTTAAAATTTCTCTAAGCCTCGTGTCCCTCAAATGTACAGTGGGATCTACATTTACAGGGTTGTGATGAGGGGGCAAGTGGAATAATGAATCAGAAAGCAATGTGTAAACTAAAGAAATATAAGCAAAATCCTCGCCAAAAGACCAGGTTGTAAGAACTAGTGAGAGAAAAGGACCATGCACGTAGAACTACGTGATGGCAGCTGGATGAGTACAGAGGCAGCCCACTGTTGTGGTCTGACTGGGCGAAGAGAACATCCCAGCCCTGTACCTTCTCCAACACCTGCCTGCAGAGCGTTAGCTGGGGAGCAGTGAGTGGTTTAGAGAAACGCTGGGCAAGAGGGTTGCTGTCACTTTGAGGCTCAGGGAGGCTGTGCACACAAGGAAAGTGTAGAGGAGATGATGGAGAGCATGGGAAGGACACAGGGCGCCTCAGGCAATACCAGGATGGGCACATCTGAGAAAATCTCTACTGCTCCTGTGTGTTGATGGACCAGAGCTAGTTCAATTAATTTTGGGCTTGAGGGTATCTACCCCCAGTGAGGGAGACTGACCAGAAATCTTAATGGCATGCCTCTGCTGGAGCAAGTGGCTGTACCCTCCTTCAGAGATAAAACTCTGCAGCCCTCGAGGGTAATTTGACATTATCAGATTAAGTCCTCCTCTGTGGTTAACCTTGCCTGTGAATATTAAATCTCAGATTGGACCTCCTAGCTAGTCAGCCAGTGGGTGATTTCAGGATAGCACTTTGTCCGGAAACATTCAAAAATATGGGTGTTGCCTCTTTAATGACCCTGTGAGAGTTATTTCTGGCAGGAAGAAGTCTCCCCACTAGGAAGACTCATTCAAGCGATGGTTCAGTGTCTGACACCTAGAGCGCTGTTAGCGCTGCCTCCGGGCCGCTTATCATCACCGAGTTATTTTGTGGTCTGCTCTCATTTTGGAATTGTCAAAGTTGTTGCTCTGCTCCGGGATTCCAGTCCTGGCTGTTCTTTGCTAATGACTGAACTTCTGTGGGAGTGTTTCCTTTATGCAAAGTGAGAATAGTAAGGACTACAGCTCAAAGCTGTTCGGAGGGTTAAAACTTTCCATACAGCGTGAAGTTTTACGTCAAGTGCCTGCACACATCAGCGTGCCTTGTCTGTGTGTCCGACGCCCTCCTGCGCGCTGCCACGTGACCAGAGTTTTCTGCTCTCTTTTTCAGCTTTGATGTGGAAAATGGCCCTTCCCCAGGTCGCAGCCCGCTGGACCCCCAGGCCAGCTCTTCCTCTGGGCTGGTACTTCACGCCACCTTTCCCGGGCACAGCCAGCGCAGAGAGTCCTTTCTCTACAGATCGGACAGCGACTATGACCTGTCACCAAAGGCGATGTCGAGAAACTCTTCGCTTCCCAGCGAGCAGTGAGTACCAGCTCCGTCTGGCTCCGGGGCTCACTCTGACCTCATCTTATCCCTGTCTCAGCAGCAGCAGCAACACTTCCCCCTTAGCCTGCGGGGAGGAGCCAGGAAGAAAATGAGTGTGAGCAGAGGTGATGGTGATGACCATCGTGAGGACTTTAATGCTCGAGCTAGGGTCTCCAAGGGTGTCACACGCCTCCGGCCCAGTGTTCAGTTCACATCTGTTACTGATATTTTTTTTGGCCTCATTCTCTGAACTGCTAAAGCGTTTATGAGAAGATGAGAACCTTAACACTTCTTACAAATCGCACTTAAATTTTCCACAGCGTGTGCGACATGAGGCTACAGTAGAGAAGAACAATGGTGGTTGGTGACATGTGTCCTCTCTCAGTGGCCTTTGCTGGGTGACATTTAATCGTCTGCCTTCCAGCCACTTGTCTGTGTCCTTTCTCTGGAACATAAACACAATACCCACTTGTTGCCCGGCTCCTTGCTGAGACACGACACACATACTCCACCGTCTTATTAAGCACAGCTCATGTTCTGTTTTGCTGCTATTAATTGTAGATCTCTAATTTTCATTTAAAGAACAACGGCGAAATTGTGTTACTTGTTTATTAAATTTTCAAAACCAAATAAAATTGGATGCTGAAATGCATGCCTTAAAAGGTTTCTGGGCACACGTACAGTTGTTTTTAACATCATATGTTATAAAAATATTCGTAGCTCCCTTCAGGCGCCAGCCTGGAAAATTCCACTGGGCTCTCTTCCTCTATTGGAAAGGAAGCTAAAAAGGGTCACCCTGTTATGAAAGGGGCAGGGGCCATTTTAAAGCTACCAGTAAGAAAATACTCCCCAGGGCATTTCTGCTAACCAATTTTAATAGAAGCACCCTTGCCCTAAAATAATAATTGGGTAGGCCGAAATTCACTTATTCATTCACTTGGCAAATATTTACTGAATCTCCCCTATGTGACAGGCAGTATACCATATACTGGGGGGAGAGGGGGGGAAGGTAAGGGCTGGAAGGGGTCAATGGGTGGAAAGGAGGATATCTGTAATACTTTCCACAATCAAGATACATTTTTTAAAAATTAACAAAAAGTGGAAAAGTCACAGATGAGTTAAAAACCAACAGCAGATACTCTCCCAAAGGTTACATGCTCTCAGGGCAGTTAAGTAAGGAAGATGAGAGGAACACCCACATACCCTTACTATCAGTGGGATCAAACATTTAATGTGTGCGTACCAAGGGCCAGGTGCATTGACATATGTTATCTCGTTTATCTTCACGACAATCCTGGTACCATTATTGTCTCCACTGTATAGATGACGAAACTGAGGCTCTGAGAGACTGAGAAACCTACCCCTCTCCCAGGACGATATGCCATGCTATGTCCAATGACCACATTATAACTGTTGGACTCTAGCCACCTATGTTCTTCAAACTACAAGGTAGACTCTACTACCAGGTAGAAAACAGATGGATGCACATTTGAGGTGCCTGAGGCTGGAAGAGAGGTAACCATTTTGCTGCAGATCATGTAGAACCAAGGAAGTTTCTGACCAAAGGGAGAGGAGCTTTGACAGTGGATATACCTGGAATTCTCTCTTCTGCTAAGAGTAACACCTTTCTAGTCTTCCTGTGTGGGGAGCGCAGGACATTTAGTGAGCTGGAAGTAATTAGATCTCATTCACATGGCGTCTCACAGATGAAAGACTGTCTTTGGGAGGCTGATAACGGTTCCCCAAACTCATGCCAAACAGCAGGATGGGTCTCAGTTTCATTTCTGAGGCTCCTCAGAAGGTTCTAATCAAACTTCAGATTAAACTCTGATGATTTCTTACTTAGAATTAAAAGGTTATAGACATTTTGAAGCTGAAGAGACCTTAATGATCCCAGTCCAACTCAGTCTATAGCTGCAGAAACAAAATCTAATTCTGAATGCCTCTGTATTCGGAATCCCTAATACTAATGGTTTACCCTCTTTTCAGTTTTACCAAGCAGTAAAATGTTTCCCAAACTTTAGAACTAATATAGCATTGCCAACTTTAAATTGAGACAAATAGAGATCATATATGTTATCTAGTATCATTCTCAATTGTTAAAATAAAAAGTAAGAAGGCACACTTTCATAACAAACAGCAGCCCTTCTCAAGAAAAAACAGTTGGCAACATAATCCCCTCCTATTATAGACACTAAAAATAAGATGCATTAGAATCTTTGCATGGATAAAAATAGCATAGCATTTGGTGTTGCAAATATTTCAACATTACATTAAAATTTTTCCATATTTGTCAATTTAGGAATTTATATTTCTCAACAAAACAAGAAGTGAAGCTTGAATAATATCCAGATTTATCTGGCATTTTATTTTACCAGGGCCATGTTGGAAAACCCAGTATCCCACAGGTATCTTGAGTTAAACTGAAGGAATGCTTTTGAAGATATTGCATTCAATTATTACTCTTCAGATGAATTGAAATAGAGCAGGGGTGGGGAGTGTCTGGCCCGAGGGCCATACAATTCTCTAGAAATCATTTGGTCTGGCCCTGCCAAGGCACTGGGGGTGAGTTAATTAGATGTTTAACCTAATATAGCAGGCTAATTTTTAAGTTGATAATTTTGTATGGCCCGCGAATGATGTTATCAATATCCAAATGGCTCTTGCCAGAAAATGTGTTCCCCATACCTGTATAGGACTGGCCCTGTTGCTCCCTGCTTTAAACTCTCCAGTATCTCTTCTCAACTTTTTAAAGCCACCATTTATGTGCGCATTAAGTTGTCTCTAGAGCGAATCGTCAAGGGAACTGAGACGCAACAACCAAGAGGAAAAGCAGAAAGAACAGCCCACCTGCTGATTGATTGACTACCAAAAAAAAATTCTACAACACTGTGGTGTCTAAGACTTGAGTTACACTTACTACTATCCCACATGGCTTTAAGACACTAAATTATCTGTAAATAAAAGCACACATTTATCGAGCATTGCCTATGTGCTATGTACTATTTAAAGTACTTTATAGATTTTTAACTCATTGAATCTCCATAACCCCAATATGGTTGGCACTATAACTTTCTTATCTTAAAGATGAGGACACTGGAGCACAGAAAGATTAAGGAGCCTGCCCAATAAATGGGGGAACCAACGCTTAAAACTCAGGGAGTCTAGGCAATTAAACCATAGGATATCCAGTACATAACAGACACTAAAGGAGGATGAAAAATAAAAATAATGGTATGAACCTCTGACTACTTTTCCAGATGTTATGAGGATCATATTCATAGTTTCTTTTAAAAAAAAAACTTACTTGAATTTAGGCATTTTGCTAACAAATTGAACATCTGTATCTTCCAGGGAGGCGAAAAAATTAGTAAGTCAATAGGCAGTTTTAATACTCTCAGGTAAGGGCAATCCTAGAAAGGTATGCACAGGACTTTGAGAGGCCCAGCCCGGCAGGGTAGGTAGCCCAGCTGAGGAGCTATAGCTAAGCAGGAAGACAGCAAAGAAGAAGTGGGTGCATGAGGAAGGGCAGTGTGCTAACTAACTCTCTAGTTGTCAGGAGCATTGTGGGAAACCACAGCTCAGTGTAACCGAGGCCGAGAATGTGAGCGGAAGAGAAAATGGTGAAAGATGAGGCTAGAGAAGTAAGCAGGAACCTCATCATGAGGGGCCCAGGCTAAGGAGCTGGCCTTTATGCTGCGTGGGAGCTACTAAAAGTTTTGAAGCAAGAATATACATAATCAGAGGAATGTCTTTGAGAGATAGCTCTGATTACAGTATGAAGACTGGTTGGGAGGGTTGGCAAGCTTAAAGGCTAGTATCCAAGGGCCAAATGGGAGACTTTGGTAATCCACAAAACAGAGGATGGTGATCTAGCTTCGAGCAGATCCAGCGGGCAGTTAATGAAGTTAGGATCAGCAGGGATTGTGGTTGACTGTGAGGTTCCAGTCTTGACCAACATGATAGGTGGTTGCACTATTCCCTAGGGCCAAGAACATTCTCTTATCACATGAAATGATGTATACGAAGATGCTTTGTAAGCTGTAAAGTACAACATAAATAGTTCCCTTGAGTGTGATTGAGGCAGACATGACTATCCTAAAGAAGTCCTCACCAGCTGGGAAGACAGACCTACAGTTGTTTAATTATAATAGTAATGACGCCAAACACAAACAAGAATAACTGTAAATAACTGAAGAGCTTTTATGTGCAAAGCACTAAGAATTGCATCCCACTTTACAGCAGAAGAAATTGAGGCATAGAGAGATTGCCTGATGTTTCCTAATTAGCAAGAGAGCCATTGAGAAACAAACCAACACTGGCTGGCTCCATATAATCTATAATAATAAAAGCATAATAAGCTAATTAGACCAGACATCCTTCCAGACGTCCTTCCGGACGACCTTCCGGACAAAGTTGGAACTGCGAGGGAAGCCCGGGTCCCGGGTGCCAGAGGGAAGCCGGTGCCAGCAGTCAGGGGAAGGAAGGCCTACTCTTGAACGAATTTCATGCATCAGGCCTCTAGTATATGTGTCTCTATAAGACAGACTGAAATGTGTTGCAAGAAAAAATACAAGTGAAATTCTATGTGTGGGTATGAAACAGAGAAATTAATATGATCTAGAATATAGCAGTAGCATAAGCATTTTTGCTTTCCAGAAAACTATTTAATTGAGACCTACACTCAATTCTAAGACCCAGTGCTCTCATCTCCATTCTATCAAATTGTAATGTGATGATGTTGTCACTAGATGGTGCTAGTGCCATGGTTCTGAATATCTGGCCTCCTTGGGAGTCACTGCCCTCTCTAGAGGTTTGGGAAACTAAATACATCGCTTTTCCATAACCAATCAAGTAGTTTATTATTTCCATGTCATTTTATTCTTAATGATTAACATATCAAATCCTGATTTAAAATTTTAGAGTAGCTTCATAAATCATCCATCTGTACTCAAATATGAGTTTTTTTGTTTTGCTTTGTTTTTTCCTGTCCTTGCTATAAATTACCTATGAATTAGCTGATCATTTCTCTAGCAGCTACTGACCTACAGCGTTAGCTTTTGCAGCTCATATCCCTTTAAGGGAGTCAGTGCTCGGGATCTGCATGTCCATCTCCTGCTTCTCAATGTTTTGCTCTCCTAATCTTCGTAAGTTCCGTAATAGCCATGTTGACATGGGGCCCTCTTAATGTTTGTTTACCACCCTTTAACCATTAGTTTGTATAGTAACTCCTCATTATACAACACTACATCCATCAGCTTTAGATACTACATATGCGATTTGCTTATATTATTTAGCTTTTGTCGACTCCAGAAATCCAGGAGCCATAGATGATCTACTTAACTCCATTACCTTATCACCAACTCAACCCAGTGTCTTCAGAACAATGTAAACTTCACAGCAAAAAATCTGAACACACAGCAAGATAGTTCACCCATCTGAAGTTCATCTCAAGAAAAGAGCTTGGGAAGGGGCAGTCCTAGATGCAGGGCAGCACCTTGCTTTGGTCACAACTGCTCATTTCCTTGGCTCCTTCCGTGAACCCTGAGGGTCTTCCATTGGCTCTCTCTAAACATGTCCCCAACCTCAGGAAGCCATCCCTGCCATTGCTTTCACAATCCCTGTGGTTGTAGGTCACTCCTAAATCTATACTCCAATTCCCATAGTTCAGTCTTCCTGCTTGATGTCTGCCACAAATCTCTTAAAACCCAGCATGTGGGAAAGTGACACAACTCCTCCACCAGTTCCTCCTCACTTCTCCATTTCTATTCATGACTTCACTATTTTCCCAGGTACCCATTTTTGAAACTGAAAAGAACATCTCTTTATGACCCCTTATCCTTGGCAAGATGTTTACTAGTAGGGTTTCTTCCCATTGTCTTTTTCTATTTCTTCCTCTACCTCACCTACTTCCTCTCATCTGAATGACTGCAGTATCCCCCTATTTTCCTGGCTCTGTCTTCTCTTCCATGTATCTCTTGTTGTCAATAGCATTTTGCTTTCTAGAGCACTTTTCTCTTTGCCTGTCTCACAAAAACCTTCACTGGAACATTTCTTGCTTCTGAGTTGAGCACCAACTCCACAACCATTGTCGATTCTGTCCATAACATGGGCCTGGGGGAACTTCTAGTCTGATCCTCTACAATGTGCTCGCTCCACCCAGACGGCCACAGAGCATCTTGCTGAGTGTTCAGTACTTTCCATTTCAACGCCTTTGTTCTGGCAGTTTCTCTCATGGGCAGCATCTACCATGCACTCCATTTAAAGTTTGCCTGTAAGAGTTCATCTTACACCATCCATTCAATCAAGCCTTTCCTACTTCCCCTAATCTATAGTTATCACCTCTCCTTCACACCCCATTGAGTATCCATATTCTGTATTTATACTATCTATTGCAATGTTTTTGTGTTTTGAATATTTTCCTGTCTCCTCTCCTATGTTTTAATTTGTGGTCACGGATCCTGCATAATTCAATCTGTCAGCTATGCAGAGTCACCATAAAATAGGAAACATAATGATGAAAAGTACAGACTTTGGGAATCTAATAGTCTTAAGTAATTGCACTTATTCCTTATGTGCTAGTTAAGCAGTAGCTTAACTTCTCTGAACCTCGATATCATCTATAAAATCGGTGTATTAAGACTGCCTGCCTTCAGTCTTATCACAAACATTGAAAAAGAGATACTGCACATATGGTGCTTAGCACAGGGCCTGACATGTGGTAACTGTGCAAAGCATGCATATGCTTGTCAGTATTATTTTTATAGTCACAGTACAAAGTTAATGTGCAGCAGGCTTACCTGATTAAATTGAAGGGGGACTTCTAGGTAAGACAAAGATAAGCAGGGGAAATATTATATTAAATAAGAGCCCAAAGGAAAGCCTGCGTTAGAGAAGAGGCGCTCATGCACTGAAGTGTTCAACTGTGCACCCCCAGGCCTCACACAAGGCCAGTTAATGGGCAGGTGCTTAACAATTGCTGGTTGTGTTCGTCATTAACTAAGAAGGTGCCATATTTGTACGGCGATCATGAGGACAGACAGTGAAGGAAGCTCATTGTCAACCGACCGGTGTGTGGCTGCTATGATTCATGCTGTGATAGCAAATTGGCCTGGTTCTGTGTCTGCAGCTCAGGCAGACTGTCTTCTAATGACTGTAATGGAGCGTTTGCTGCAGGTGGGCTTAAGTCGACTTATCATCAAAGCACATGGCAGAGAGAGAATACATTTCTGAAAACACACTTTTGTCCGTTCCCAAGTACAGATTCACATAATACTAGGTACAGCTTAATCAGATCTTTGGGACAAAATGAACAACAACGATATGGTAATTGTAGGTTCAGTGAGTGCACTTGCATTAAAAGCTTTTCCCTGGGTACTTTAAGAAAAAAAAAAGTTATATGAAAAACAAAAAGTAATGGGATTTGCAGGCAGAAATCTGTGTTTAAATGGCATTAAGGCTGCGGTTCAAATCAACAAAAGCCAGGAAATCCAAAGTTAACCTTTATCCAGACTGCTATGCCATTTTTTCCAACTCTGTATGTGCCTGTGAGCAGTCCTCCCTTTGAATTTCCTGGCTCTGGCAACCCACAGTCGCTTTGAATTACAGTCCTCTAGGTCTGCTATTTAATGGGACTATACCCTGAGGATATATGCTTACTTGCAAATGCTTTTATGTGTAGTCACTGTAAATCTAGGAGCCATGAACTGGTGGTGATGGGTTTTTTCTTCAAGTTCCTGAGATCCCCATGTATGCTGAAAGCAGTCCTGCCTTATATCTAGCTAGGTAGAAGGACTTCCGTATATCATTTGTGTTGCTAACGCTGATAAAGTTTCATATGACAGCGTATGTGCCACAGTTATCATTCGAATGCATGTTTAAATGTTGCTTTTCTCTTTTTCCACCAGACACGGTGATGACTTGATTGTAACGCCTTTTGCTCAGGTGCGTATCATGCTGGCCCTCGCTCTCTCTCCCTTCATCTCTGGGTGTAGTTTCTAAGTGTGGCTTCTGAATGCTCCCATGTATCGCCTTTTGTTTCTAAACATTTGAAACCTTTTTCTTCTAGGTCCTCGCCAGCTTGAGAAGTGTGAGAAACAACTTCACTCTACTGACAAACCTTCATGGAACATCCAACAAGTAAGCATGGACTTTTTGTGAAATTAGGAATCCCTTTCATAGAGGCAAAACCACTGAATAGTACTTAAAAACGAACAAAAAACGATTTCATGGAAATTTGCCCACAAGCTAATTTAAGGTACAGGATGAAATTTTAAAATAAGATGGAGTACCATAAAATTTTAGAACTGGTAAAATGTTAGAAAATCGTCTGGATCTTATTTGTCTCTGTACCTTTAACAAATGAAAGCATGAAATGAGAGTTCAACAAATGAAAGAATGAAATGAGAATTTTGTTGACTTATATTTACTACTTTGGAAAGTATGAATACTTAGCAGTAATGGCAAAAAATTCTATTTAAATTCTTTTGGAATAGTTATTAATGAATTCAGAGATTCAACTTCAAATTAAAAATACCAAAAAGTTCAAGTCCAAGTAGCCTATATTTTGATAATATGTAAACAAGTTCATGCAATTTGATTATCTTCTTCTTTCCCCCCAACTGACCACATAAACGTGGTCATTTCAGTTAACATTGCTGAACCTTGGTCCCCATCTGTAAAATTGAGGGTTTGAACTTGATATTCCTGCAGGAACTTTCTCTTCTGAAATCATGTCAACCTGTTTGTCCACATGCTATGAAGTTCACTAGCCAGTATTTTTTAAGGTCATCATAGGGTTCACAAGGTCACAGAATCATGTTCCTGGAATAGGAGGGCTGAAGGAGACCTTTGAAGCCATTTATTCAACCTCTTTGTTTTTCAGGAGGAGAAACCCAGACTTCCTAACAACCACATCATAGGTTATAGACATACTAGGGCCAAATCCTGAATATCCTGATTTTTCCAGCCAGTGCTGGCTACAAAACACCATGTCTTTTAGTCTTTATGAAATTATTCATCAACCCTCCATTTCGCTTTTATCCACCTTTTCATGGAGTGGAGTTGTTAAAGGTGAGAGGAGACCCTGCTTTGAAAGCTTACTTTTTATTTCATTGTTCTGTAATTTGTTACAGAACCTCCTGTGGGAGCTCTGCATAACCCAGTGGAATCTTTCCCAACAATGTTCTCCCCTCTAAACTATTCCCTAAACTGCCACCAGAGTGACTGTTCTCACGTACTATCTGACCACATCCGTCTCCAGCTTGAGGCATTTCCACGGCTCACTCTTGTCATTCAGATAAAGTTTTAACTGTGGACACTTGGCACCCAAGGCGCCTCATGATCCAGCTCAAGTTAGTTTGATGGATAGTTATTTGGGTTTATATTTGATGCAAGATGCATGAAAGATAGAGACTTGCCAGCCTCTTTTGCCATGGCACTCCCTGTTTCATCATTTATTAAATAATTCACCCAACAAGTATTTATTTATCCATGCATATATATGTATTTAAGAAATATCGCCCTAACCTGTTTGGCTCAGTGGATAGA